TCAGTTCTGATCATTCACAAGAGGTAGAGTAGTGTGATCTAATGGTTAGTGTCTGACTGCTACCTTATATTAATCAAAGGGAACAAATCTTCATTTCCCATTTTCCTTGTCTCCTCTCCCAACATTGTTTTTGCGAATTTTACTCCAAAATCGTAACTCATCTTTAAAATAACCATGGAAATGTTCCTTTTGACATGTGGCGATGCATAACACTTTTAATTTTTGTTTAAACAGAGAAGAAGAAAAATCTATGCAATAATAATCCGTGTAAGAATAGTGGTAAATGCAGCACTACCAAACATGGATTCACATGTCAATGTTCTGGCCAATACGTTGGTAAAACCTGTGAAACAGCCATCGGTAAGAAATGCATCCAGATACCAACATTTTGAAGCCACTGCTTACTCCAAATTATCTTTCTTGTTTAAAGGTCCTGACGTTATAGGCATCTTTCTCAAAGGAGATATCGAAAAAGTAAGTGCATCGTAGCAGATGACTGAAACATTCTTACGATGATGGGCAGGGTAAAATTCCTCTTTCTTGTCTGTTGTAGTGGAAGCCTCAAGAGTTCAAGAGTTCACTTGCCAATTTACTAAATAAATACTGCAATAATTGCAGCAAAATGTCCATCAGGTAAACAACTATCCTTTGGGTTAAGGTTAGTGGTTTTGTTGCCTTTATTAAGCGTTTTTTTCTTCTATAGATCCAAACGTGAAAGCAAGACTACCAAATTCACAGCTGAGAACATTATTATCGTCAAAACCAGCCGTTTTCCACCGGAGATTCTCTACCTTGAAATCGCTGTCGTAATGACGACCAACGGCAAAAATACTGTCGTTGATGGACACAAGTTGCGTAATGCCATTACTGGGGCCGGTAAGGGTATTACGGGATATTCTGTCATAGACATCCAAGGCAAAAAAGATAAACAAAGTTTGAATGGTACCATTAGTCCGCCAAAACAAGCCTCTCAGACTAGCGGTAACGATAGGTCCATTGCACTGAAAATAGGGATTGCAGTGATTTTGACCTTAGTTCTATCTGTTCTGGGCACGCTAGTGGTCGTGTATCTCATAAGAAGGTAAGTAACTAACCATAATGTGGATGAGGGAAAGATCTAGTTCACACCCTTTATTAACAAACCTATCTGTTTACTCGTAGGAAGAAGAAGTTTCCTACAATCAACACATACAATCGGAACCCTTCCAGTCGAGATAACGAGATGCTGATCAATGAAGATGACAACCCATTCTTGTAATTGAATCGATCTTATTGGTTAAAGCATTACGTCATTCAATCAGTCGAAACTTGGAAGCCCCCGTCAGGGCAGGGAATATAACATTGACGTATTGTTAACTTTACCAATTATTGGGGGAAACGTAATGCCATTAACTTTTGTCCGGTTTATAAAATAAAAATGCTTCTAATTTTGACCTATTTTCGTTCTAAAAATGAATCTATTTTTAATGAACTCTAACCCTAATCCAGTCCTTAAAATCAAGCAATGCTGGCTTCTAATACAGAAGTGCCGCTTATCATATATATATGCTCATTAAAACATTGATGTTCATTTCCCGCCTTGTTCTGGAGGTCAGGGGTTCCAATATAGGGCATTGCAAAGAATAATTTTACTTAAATAAGTCATTTTAGTTTTGTAAGAGATTTTATTTCGTGCGCCTTTAATGTGTACCTTTAACATACTATACTACATGCTATACTCAGGGTTTAGTAATGAATTAATACCTTATGATACGCTGCCTGACTCAAGTGTAGTCTTGTAATCCTCCAGTCTGTATGAAAAATGTCGTTGAAATATCTGTGGGCTGTAATAAAAAATGAAGAAAGTAAAAATAAAACATCTTGGTATATATCAAATAAGCAAGAATTCAATTCACTTACCTGTCTAGATGATTTAACGACTGTTGCAATTCTCTCATTTGTCTTGCATGCACTTTTTTGCAAAAAAATTCTAGTATTTGGTATGTGAGACCAGGTTTGACCAAGAGCTGGCTTTACTTTTCTCGTAGTCAATGCGTCAGTTACAACGTTGTTAGTTACCTAGTAGGAATAAATTAACAATATTAAACATGACCCATACAGCACTGTCACTAGGTGTACTGATCATGACCCCATCACCCATACAACACACTGTCACTAGGTGTATTGACAATGACCCCATCACCCATACAACAAACTGTGACTAGGTGTACTGATCAAGAACCCATCACCCATACAACACACTGTCACTAGGTGTACTGATCAAGAACCCATCACCCATACAACATACTGTGGCTAGGTGTACTGACAATGASCCCATCACCCATACAACACACTGTGACTAGGTGTACTGATCATGACCCCATCACCCATACAACACACTGTGACTAGGTGTACTGATCATGACCCCATCACCCATACAACATGCTGGCACTAGGTGTACTGATCATGACCCCATTACCCACACAACACACTGTGACTAGGAGTACTGACCATGACTGATAGTCCATGCTCTAGAGCTAACGACTTTAGATCCCTAGACAGATGAACCATAAATGAATGTCCTATAAAAGTTAATATTTTGTAGTAAATTGTAAAGAAGTTCAGTAAACTATTCATTTCAGTTAATCCAGTTGATTACCTTGTGTCTGCTGACCACCAAGAATTGGTGCAATTACAAATGCTACTGAGTCCACTATGACTAAACGTAAGTTACTGTAGAATCCTTGATCCTACAAAATGTGTCCTATTAGATAGAACTTGATATGGTTTTAAAATTCATTTAATATTTGTTTCAGTTAGAACTTCTTCTGTTAGTACACTAACATTATTTTATACAATTGGTATAAAAGTAGCCTCAAAGAGGAATATCCACTAGTATCGCAAGTGCCTTTGCATGCTTATTATTGTTTTCTTTGGCTTGTAATGATGTTTCTAGCACTAATATTTCTTATACTAAGGTGTTGCTTTAGCATTTGATGAAGACATGTTCAACTAATTTGGTAATTAAAAGTAGCCAGTTGAAGAATCTGTACAGCACCTGAAAATCACTCCAAAAGTACTTTACACAAGAATCTTGAAATCTCTTGGACAATTTAGAAATAGATATCGCTAAAAGGTTTGGAATACAATTTTTTTCAATTTAAAAACAATTATTTTAACTTTTTAAATAAAAAATGTTATATCTCACTCTAAATGCATTTTCTGGGATACTAGTGGATCCTTCTCTGGTAGCCTCTCATGCAGCAGCTTAGGGTATTGCATGCAATGTTCCCCTCCCCAGAAAAAGACTTGTTTTAGTATATCTTACATCAGAAAACTTACCTCCATATTAAGACTGTCTTTAATATCATTTAAACAATTGATAACATCAAATATATCGAATGCCTGGATACATTTAATCCTTGACAAAATATTGGTGGTATCCTAATAAATGAAACAAGATAGAATCATCTATTAATCAACATAACTATTTTGTTTGTTTGAATTAAAAGAGACCCACCTGACCAGTTAAAGAGGAATCTCTTGAATACAACATCTCTTTAATCCTGTCACTACTGAATGCTGCCTGGGTGTCAATGTACACAACATTCTTCTCAATATTCATGGCAACAGAAGTTGCTATACTCATGCATACCTAAATTTAAAAAAAAGCATTCACTTAAGAAATATTTATCTATTTCTGCTGCTGCTAAGACATCTATCTATTCTCATCCATTTGTGATTGCAGATCAATGGGGGAGTTATGCTGCATTGTATTGCGTTTTGCATTATGTTACTACCATTATCCTTGAAGTGCGGCTCAAGAAGATCAATGTTTCGTTTGCCAACTAGCATTTCAATGACCGTCAATCAAAGAACTGAAATAAAAAAGCAATATCTTGAGAAATATTTATAGACTGAATTAAAGATCTTAATCCTCTAAGATTTTCCATTTAGCCTAAAATCTCCCTACAGATATAGCTTTTTTACTGCAGTTCTTTGATTGACGGTAGTTTAAATGCTAAGCTGCAAATGAGACATTGAACTTCACGGTCTCACTTCAACGATAATGGTAGGAAATTAACTTGTTTTAGTGGGATTAAGTTTGTTAAGATAGTTTAATGTTTAACTGGGTTGGTCAATCTTATATCTTGCCCTTATGGCAGTTGTATTATGTCCCAGTGTATAGTATATTAAAGCTGCCTGGATTTAGCCCATACAGTGGTCACATGTATTATTATAGTTTAGATTAACTACCATTATTGATGATGTGCGACCTGCAAAGTTCAATGTCTTGCTTGCCGAATAGCATTTCAATGACAGTCAATCAAAGAACTAAAATTTTTAAAAACTATCTTTGGGAGATTTATAGACTGAATTAAAGATCTTAATCTGCTAATCCTCTAAAATCTTTTTAAAGATTAAAATTCAGTCTACTTTCAGTTCTTCGATTGACAGTTGTCAAAATGCTAGTTTACAAAGGAGATGCATAATTATAGTAGTAATTTGTCTGCCCTGACCACCCTCATTTAGCAGACGTATTGTCTGTCACATGTCAGAATTATATTTATGCACGTCTCACAACTGAAATTTGTATTTAAAAATGTGAAGGATATAATTAAAGAACAACTTGCCTGAGTTTTACCACTGCCAGCAGAACCAGCAATTTCTGTCACTTCCCCAGAATACAAACCACCATCTAACAACTCATCCCAGCTGTGGTAGTAGTATAATAATAGTCATCAAAGATCAATCTAATAACTTATCCCAGCTGTGGTATTAGTTAGGTAATAACAGTCACAGTCATCAAAGATAATTGTTTCCAACAAACTGGTACACTATGTTTTTTGGGCAATTGCATGTGGAAAAAGCAAATGTTTGAAGACTGTGTTATCAATCATTCCTATTCTCTATTCAATATAAGACATTTGCAACACCCTGACTGATTATTGACCTTTGAGACCATAACAAAGACATATTTGCATGCCTGACCACAAGCAAGAGTACTAACCCCTGACTCTCATCCAAGGTAAAAATTATCTACATTTAACTTATTAGTTATCTACTTATCTACTTCATTATCAATTTCTTTCTAGAAAATTTGAATAATATTTAAACCTTGAAGGAGGCTATAAAGGTCTTTTTACCCATGGATATATTCCCTTCATCCATTCACAGTTAGCTTATTTAACAGCTAAAATATATGGTAATTGTGATTTGCTTCTGGGATAATGCAATTGCTCCCAGTCCCCAGGTGTTGCTCCACCACATCATCATTACCATGGATGTATTGCAGGGCCGGGTTGTTCAAAGCTGGATTAGTGCTAATCCAGGATTAACTCTATAGGTCTTATTAAGAGTTAACCCAGGATTAGCACTAATTGGGCTTTGAACAACTGGGCCCTGATGTTAATGAGTTATACTCATATATACTTACTGATCACAACCTGTAGGAAAAGAAAAAAATGCAAAATGAGTTGGAGCACTATTATGTTTTGTAACAACTATTTGCAAAAATGACCTGTTGAGAGTATGAAGAATGTGGACACAACATCATTCAGTAGGTCACAGCCACTGGTAGGGAAACTTGAGAAATGGCCAATGATAGCACTCTGCATTGACTGGATTTCCTGTGGTACAAAACAGTGTTGCATTAATTTCTTCTGAGTTTTATCAAACTTTTAAAAAATGCATTAATAATTCATGAAGGAAACACAATAGAAATCATGACCATGAAGGTGATTTTATATCTGATATAGATTCGTCTTCATTTGCATATTTAAACTTTAACTTGGATTTTCTCTATCAAACTTGGTTCATTTTGTAAAGAATTCAGTACAATATGAGAATATACATCACAAGTTTTCTAAGCCATTTAATAACTTGCAGATCGTGTCTTATCAGGTCTAAATCCACTCGCCTGCGCCTCGTGTTTTATACCTGATAAAACACTCCTGCTCGTTTATTAAACATTACTTATAAAAATGCAAAACTAAATTAATCTACATATAATTATATATCAATATTTTTAAAGCCTTTAAATGTTTTCAAAACTCTGAAACAACCTCTGGTCTAATCTTAGTAAGAACATGGCTAACTCACAAATCGAACCCTGAAACCACCTCTGGGCTGATCAAAGTAATAATTATCATTACAAACATATGTAGACACAGATTAAGCCTAGTTTATGACTATAATGTAGTCAAGGATTAACTGCCTGTGGTATTTACTGAATGAAGATTCTATTATATGTATCAATGATCCATATGTTCCACTTTTATTCATGAAAATTATATTTTGCATAACTTTTGCCACAAGTATATCCCATATCATCAACATTAACAGTTAAATACCTCCTTTTCTAGGGCTGACTGATAAGGAACTTTCTCTGAATCACAACAAATAAGAGATGTTGCTGTTGGAAAGAAAAATAAAAACAAATTCATCTGTAACTTTGCTCATGGAATATCATCTTCATTCAGTGAAAAATCTTAATTTTTTAAATGAAAAAATGCTTGCCATCCTGCTATTTGCTTTGAAAACAAACACACACATACACGAACCACTGTCCCCACTCATTTTTGAAAAGGGCAATTAATTTCCCTTCATTTCCACAGCTTCCATTAGCAATTCTGAGGTTAGGGCAGTGGGCGTTGCAATGTTTTGTGGGACTGATTTAGGGGACAAATTAGATGCCATTTTGGAAAAAATATTTATGTCCTATAAAACAGCCCCACAATGCACTTCAATAATAATATTTTTATTTATCTCCCTCAAGATATTGTTTTTTAAATGATTTACAGTTCTTTGGTTGACGGTTGTTTAAATGTTAATAAGACATCAAAGCTCGTGGGGCACACTTCAACGATAATGATCGTAATAGCCATCGAGTGGCTTATTCTTATTTACATCATATTTTCTGGAGAAGGCTATCATCAGCACAGCTGAAACGTTAATCATGTTTTATTTAATAGGCATGTTTTTTYCCCCCGTAAAAACCTAATTTCAACCATAGTTAATAGAGGGGAAGGTTAGGGTTATTAAATATATTTCAACATTCATTGAAGCTTATAATTTACTTATTTGATTTGTCATTCATGATGTATTCAAGCACGCTTGCATGCATATTTCATTCTATAGTGGAAGCATGGCAAACAGTTATATAGCAATGGGGTTATTCGCATTCTTTCTCTGTCTTGTTAGCTCACCTGTTATGATGCCACAAGAAGTTAAAACCTTTTGAACAGACGCAGAGGCCTTGAGTAAAGCTTTGTGCATGCTTTTTTGTGATTTTAAAGAAACTCTCTTTGACTAGTTGCGCTCGTCCTCGCTTGGTCCGAGACCTTGAGACACAGGCAACCCAATATACCTGGTGTTATAACATTTCTTGATCCATTCCTCCTCCACTATAACCCAGGTACCGTCGATATCTATCATATATATCATATCATATATGAGTTCTTCCAGTTTAAGAAATATTTTCCTTGCATATTCAAAAGTGATCCAAGGTTGTAGGAACCTTTCTTCGTCCAGATCATATAGAATGGATTTGAATGCAGTAGTTGCTAAACTTGAAAGTTTTGCTCCCGTGTCTTTAGCTGAACAATGGGACAATGTTGGTCTTCTTGTCGAACCGTCTGGTCGTCACACTGTGGATTCTATGCTTTTAACAAACGATCTGACAGAGAAAGTATTGGAAGAAGCAATTGAAAGTGAGGTTCAGATGATATTATCTTATCATCCACCTATTTTTATTCCTCTTAAGAGGCTCACGTCTAGAAGTTTTAAGGAGAGAATAATTGTCAAAGCCATTGAAAAAAGAATTGCAATCTACTCTCCCCATACAGCATTTGATGCAGTAAACGGTGGTGTGAATGACTGGCTTGCTTCAGGATTAGGGGATGGCCACGTAACTCCTCTATTTCATTCAATGGAAGACTCTGTCAAAGGGTGTACTTGTAAAGTTGTGATCACAACCACCAAAACTCTTGATGCGGACAATGCCAAAGACGTCGAAATGAGAATATGCTGCATCAATGGAATAAGAAATCTCTACATTGATAATATACCAAGGTAAAAAATCCAGTAGAAATGATTAATTGACTGTATAACTACCTTAACAAGATCAAGTTCAATATTGTTTAGCAGGCCCATAGGCTAAGAGGAGAGGGGATGCGGGAGCTCCCCCCCCATATGCATCTCCTAAAACAATTCCACAAGTAAGGAAAAACCTTATGGTTATTAAAATGTAAATTAACTTCTCGACTAGGTACTTACAAAATTCTTCCTATAACTTACCCCTCCCCCATCCCAAGTTCACACTATGGCATTGCTTAACACTCCTACACACTATCTGCTACTTGGGGCCCAATTCCATAGGCCTCTTGGGTGTTTCAAAGACCTTGCAAAACTCAGTTTTAAGTTATCTGTTGCTCAAACTTAGCCTGGATTTTGTGCAGAATATTCTAAGTGTTTGTTTATATTTTTGAGGTTGTTCATAGAGCATTTTCAYGTGACGTCACAGCAGCCATTATGGGGCTCCAAAACAATACATTTTCTATCCTCCGAGAATTGAACTCTATTTTTATGCAAATACTTTGCAGAAAGGTTCTATTGTTTATGGCTGCCTTCTCACGTGAGTGAAAGCGCCCTATTCTTTACTTTACTATTGGTATTGGTACAGCAGTATTTTGGAACTCGAGAAAGATCTATTTTGGCCACCAAGAGTGCTATAACTCTAATCCCCTGCCATTTGCAGAATTTGTGATATATAGTTGTGTTTAATAACAATGACATTGATTATTGCCATCTCATTATTGAATCATGATAATCTACCTAAACCTTATTCCTTCATAATACTTATTATAATTTTTATAGCTCCAGTGGGTCGTGTATCACTTTATGTTGCTCTAATAGTGAACTTCCACAAGTTATTCAAGTGATCAAAGAAAAACTTTCTTCTGTTACCTACGACTTGATAGTACAGCCATTGTCAAAGGTAAATTTATACTTTTATTTAATAAATGATTGAGCAATTTTTAGTTAAAGAAAAGCTGTATGTATTTTCAATAATTAAGAGTGTTAAAGTGCTTATAAGCCTTTGCACAATACTTTTAGAATTTATTCTTTAGATAGTGGATAGTTGATTGTGAAAATATTTCGTCATTTGGATGTTGGGTCTTTAAGATACGAAGGTTTATATTCCCAATATGTTAATGACTATGACGTAACATAAGGGATCATTTTATATACAACACTGCACTCGTTCTGGAATACAGTATTTTAAAAGTATCCCCCTTTTACTCGTGACTCACTAAAGGTTCTTACAAATTTTTTTTGAAAAAATGTCCTTAAAAGTTGCTACAAAACAACTCTAATCCCTTATGTTACATCATAGTCATTAACATGTTTTGTTGAAGGAAGAGAAAATGGAGTAAAACCCTCAAATTAAGGGGGAGACCTAACAAACTCTACCCACATGTGATGCAGGGTCTACAGGGGAATTGAACGAGACCYAAGAGAGAAGTGCATTTCTGCTACTGTGGTAGTAAAACCCAGTTTTCTCAGTTGGTTGAGCATTGGACTTTCCAGTGGGAGGTCATGGGTTCAAGCCCTGGCCAAATCAACACTCAGGGTCTTTTAAAATATAACTGAGGAGAAAGTGCTGCCTTTGTAATAACATTGAAATACTTGAAAATATCTACAAATGGTTAGACCTTCACCTGGATAACCACATAAAATGGTAAAATGGTCCCATCTTCTCGACACTATCTCAYCCTCCATCAAAGGTGTAGGATTTAAGGGATTTCTTGTTGGTTCTCTCCTGTGCTCCAAGGGTTTTTCTCTAGTTCTCCTGTTTTGCTTCCTCTGCAAAGAATCAACTTGTAAAATTCTAATTGACATTTCAGTAGATGAAGAGCCATTCTGTCTGTGGAAAGCCACTGCTAAATCCCATATATTTTATTTATAACTAAATTGTGTTTTGCAGGTTCCCATTCCTAATACAGGCACTGGTCGTCTTTGCACCCTGTTCTCTTCACTTTCCTTGGGCGAGCTTGTTGGTCGCATTAAGAAACATCTTGGAATAGAATATGTGCGTTTGGCTATTAGCCAGAAGGAAAGTTGTACAGCCAGCACTAAAGTGTCGAGCATAGCCGTTTGTGCAGGTTCAGGTGGTAGTGTTTTGAAGGGTGTCAAAGCCGATGTTCTACTATCTGGTGAAATGTCACACCATGAGGTCCTTGAAGCTGTATCAAACGGTTGTCACGTTATCCTATGTGAACACAGTAACACTGAACGAGGTTTTTTGAAGATTTTTCAAAAGAGGTTAAATGACTTACTTGATAACGAAGTCAGAATTATTGTGTCTTCGTTAGATGCTGACCCTCTTCGAGTTCTTTGAGAAAGGTTTCTTCCTATTTAATTCGATATTAACTATGATCCAATCAACTGACATACCGGCAAACTCACAATGGCTATTGTTTCGCGGTACGGCTTAACAGTGGTTCCAAAGAGGATGAAAAATCGGAGAATTTAGAAAAATTTAATGGCTGACTGAATTTCATTCTACCTCACGAATAACCCTCCAATTACATCTCCGGACTTCAGTGGCAATCCACTTTTTTGCGATATTGGGCAGCAACCTATTGGACTACAAATAATTAACTTATCTTATTGAAAAAAATATTAGTCCGATATAATAAAACACTATAGGATTCATCCTAGGGTGAGTGAATAAAAAGAAAACTAAAAGTAAAGTAATTGTAAGATTAAGGCTTGAAGTCCCGCCGTGGTTAACCCCAAGGTTACCTCCTTCCTGGGCGTGGAGGGGGAGACAAGGAGAAGACTAACCATGTCTTAAGGTGGAACCAAACTAATTCAGAGTGAATTTTGGACAATTTTATTCTTGCTCCCTTCGCAAAACTAGTATGTCAATTTAACTGGATCTTTCATATAATGTGCTTGGAATATCCTAGATTCTAGCAGTGTAGTTTTGTGAAGGGAGCGAGAACAAAATTGTCCAAAATTCGCTTTAATTAGTTTGGTTCCATCTTAAATGACTGGATCTGGAAGAAGGGCCTATGATTGTTCTCTTACACGAGCACTTGCTATTTGTATGGTGAATGAACTAATACCTGCAGTTCACCAAATGCATATTGTTTGCTATATAATGGCCTATGAAAATGTTTACTTTGATTAAAGATGACAATAGCGAATTTTATTTTTCGTAAAAACGAACGTAAAAAGATAACTACGTTTTGATATAATCCGATGAATGGGCATGAGAATTGATGGGTTGCAAGCATTCCAAAGAGAGTTAAAAGACAAAAACATGGCGGCCATTGTGGTACCGTTAACAATGGATGCTAATGAGAAATCTTTTGTTAAATAGTACCAACATGGCCGCGATGACGTAACGTGCGAACGAAGAATAGTTGAAAATAGTGATATATATATACACACAGTACATGGTTGATTGTTCAATATAGTTCATTGCATCGCAAGTTGTAATTTGGACAGGTTCTTGAGTCAATAATATTGACTGTTGCCTAGCACGTGTGTTATATGTAGCTCATTTGCAAGCCACACGCTCACGCAACATGGCACGGCTTTGTTTTCATGCCATTCACTGAAAGTACACAAAGGTTTTTAACATAATTACACGTGCTCTTATTTTCAACACATGCATCTCACATGGAAAAGAAGGAAAATACTTTTTCGGCGCATTTCTGAAGCCGGAGTGTTGGAATTGGTGAACCTGATATCTTCTCATCACAAGGTAGGAGCGCTATATTTCATTGGAGCATTGGTAACTCTACTTGACCATGCATGGACTGTTCAGTTATCGAACAGATAAAACTCGACTGGATTCAAATTAAAGTTGAACAGTTTACCGTAGCATCAGCTCAGTTTTATTGCCCAAATCAATATCGGCAATAACTCCACAAAGTTTCAGTTGTAATTATTGACCGTGATGGTAGGGGTTATGACTCATTCGGTGTACGTGTGTTTTGTGTTTGTAACGTTGATATGATGGATCTGGTTAAATGATTTATATTCCACTGATTCACAGTTAAATAATCATTAAGTTAATTCATCGAACTAAATTATTCACGGTTATTATATTCGTCAGTCATTAATGAGAGATCATCGGCTTGCTGTGCATGCGCAGATGAATATAATACATGAACAATTGTTGCTATGCTATATCGCTGCCAAATTATAAACTAAAGCACAGCATTTAACCAAGACTAAACTGATACTTTTCAAGCTAACTTCTTACACTTTACAATGACCAAACAGGCAAGAGTACATCCTCTTCGTCGTCTTAGCGTCGGCGAAGAACAAGAAATGAAAGAAGTTAATCACAATCAAAACATCAAAACAAGAAAAACTTCTTGGCAACAAATTGGACAAGAGGTCAAAGCTGTTTCACGGTGGAAGACCTACAAAAGTTCTATGCGTGATCATTCTCTTGAAGGATATATCAATAGAACAGCTGAAAGGCCAAGAGTAGTACACGATTCATGTAAAAATCTCTCCAAGAAAACACAACTTTGTGTTCTTGATAGTGATGTAGACAATCTAGGAGAACAGAACTTTTCACCGTATGACGCGTTTGGTTGTCTGAGACAATCGGTATCTCACGGAGTAACACCAGAGGAGGCCCTGATCAGCAGTAAAACGATGATAATTTACTTTGCCAAACTTGCAAAAGCAAGCTTAGAAGAGGAGCAAGTAATTGATTTTGATTTCTTGCAAGAATTGCTAGACGAAGGAGCAGATATCAACTTCACGGATAGTCACGGTCAGACTGTCTTTCACGAAGTAGCGAGAATATGGAATGTTGATGTTGCGAAGTTTATGTTAGAAAATGGTGGGCTTGTGAACAACGCTGATGATTATGGTCGAACACCGTTGCATGTTGCATCAGCTGTCGATTATCCTGAGATGATAGAGTTCTTAATCACTAACCAAGGTAATAATATCTATTTTGGAGGTGTATAGTAAATTACTTTGCGTGCAGAGATAGAACAATGATTTATTTTTCAGTGATCGCGGAGAATAGTTCACCACATTTATTGCGAGTTATGATCATGTCAATGCCTCAATCATCATTGGCTAAAAACGTGGGGGAGGGAGGTGCGTCTTGCCTCCACGCTGACTGATTAACAACAACAACAACTTTATTACTTTACCCTGAATTATTTACAAGTAATGAAATAAATAGTTAGTAGAATAACACTATAGATTTTTAGGTCAATGACTTACAGAAATAACCATAAATAGTTAGAAATGCCCATAAGCCAAATGATGTCAAAGCAAGGGGGAGAGGGATACTGGTGAGGCCGGGATGACACATATTTACTGCTTTCTAACATAGTTAATATTAACTATGTTTCTAAGGTCTCAGTAAATGAGTGTTTTAATACCAAGTGTTGAAGCAAAAGTTTATAGGTTTATGTTTTTGACTTTATTTTAAAAATTAACTTTTACACACTGTACATATATATATATATATCAAGGGTTTTTATCTGGGTTCTGGGGCGGTTCTCTGGTTCAAGTTCTAAACTATTATTTAGTTCTATTTTTACCTAGTTTGAGACTTGCTCTTTTGTTATTGTCCCAAACTGTGATTCAACAACCATGCATAGATTTTGAATATTATTACACCAAATAAATAACCAATTCCTCAAATAACCATGATAAATTTACTTTCATAAAATAGTAATGATGAAAAGGTAAATTATACACCGTGAAAAGATGAAAAAACTTACTGACGTTTCGGACGCTAGTCCTTCGTCGGAGTCTTTTACTCCGACGAAGGACTAGCGTCCGAAACGTCAGTAAGTTTTTTCATCTTTTCACGGTGTATAATTTACCTTTTYATCATTACTGTTTCATTAGAAACACCGACGCAGCTCWCACTAGTTTTTAGCTAGTTATATCTTTTCATAAAATATAATCATGCATACTCCAGATGGTTATACGATTCCCTAGTGAATAATTACATACACATGTCATTCCCAAGGAAATTTTGATACCGTTATATGGTACCTTTTTCTCCAGAAAAAGTGAAGAAGAATGTGTTTTAAAGTTATCTAGGTTAAGCCTGCTACCAGCATGTACTAATCTTCAATTACTTCTTCAGCAAATATCCATGTCAAGACCAAAGGAGAGATGCAAACACCAATTCACTATGCTGCTAAGAATGATGCTGGGCAGGCTTTGAAAATGCTGTTAAAGCTTGGAGCAAACGTGGAAGATAGAGACTATAAAAACAGAACACCATTACAAGTGGCAGCTGAATTAGGTAGGACATTTAGGTTTTTTAGCCAATGTTTTTTTTGTGTGGAAAAATCGTAATTCTTGTTGATATTTACTACAGATCGTTCTGATACAGCAAAGTTATTGATAGACAAAGGCACTTCTGCAGGTGTTCAAGATGATAGTGGAAGTTGTGTATTGTCATTAATGATTTCAAAGATGCCACCAGTTGCAAAGGAAGCATTGGATCAGTTTCATTCCGCAGACCGTGCAAATAGAAAGCAGTACTATTATTTGAATTATTTGGAACCTTATAAACCACCGAAAGGTAACTGCCATTAACATTAGTTTACTGTTTCCTCTATTAAGCACCAGACCTCTAATAAGCCCCCCTTCTCCCCTTACTATTAAGCCCCTAGTCCAAAAGCGCTAAAGATGGCTAATGACTTTAAGTGTCGACATGCTTGTACAATCACCTGTGCAAGGACTAGCAAGACCTGTGCATGCACACTTTATGTACTTATTTTTCATAGTAGCCATTATGTCTGGAGTGCAAGTTATAACGTATCTACATGTACATATAAATTACAATTAAACCTATAGTCCCCATAGAGTACAGTTCAGTAGCAACAAGGCCCAATGGCGTATTTAACCCATAACATTAGCTCACAGAGGAAAAGGTTTAATTGTTATTAAAAGTATTGAAAAATGCCAGAAAGAAGAAGTATTATTTCAAACCCCTGGAATTTTCTTCACCATAAAAGAAAATTTGTATTATAATATATAAAGTATGAGGTTAAAAGGTAGTTAGACCAACATTTTTAGCCTCTCATGAGGGTTCTTGGAATTAAAAGTACAATTCCTATTCATATTATTAAATGTCGATTTTGTCATTTTCTCCTGCGCTAACAGGAGGCGAATGTCATGCAAAGACTCCTTTACAGTGTGTAGTGAGTTTCAAGCAAATGGACCTTATCATGCATCCAGTATTTCAAAGACTTATTGACGTGAAATGGCAGCAATTTGGTCGCAGGGGAGTGGTGCTTCAGCTGCTGGTTCAGCTGTTTTATGTCTTCATTTGGACTGCTTTAGCTGTAACACTTCATTTACGAGAGGGTGCAAATTTCTACAACCCGCTTTCAAAATACTGGTGGAGAATTGTGCTAGAAACAATAGCCTGTAGCATGACAGTTTACTTTATTCTGCAAGAGTTCTTGGAGATAAGTGCTTCAAAGAAAGCCCATCGTAAGTGGCAGCATTGGAGAATTCAGGAACTACAAAAAGACCTTAAGTTTTGCCACCCTCGCTGGCCAGAAGAAAGGAAATATCTAGAAATGGAGCTACGCGAAATTTCGGAATTGGGAATTTCTTATTTTAATGACGCCTGGAATTATTTTGATTGGGTTACTTATGGCTGGGTTTTGGGTATGATTGTAACGCGTGTTCTTGACGTGGCCAGTATTACTGGTCTTCATCTCAGAATATCAGCCGTGGGGATTATTTTCGTTTGGCTTCGACTAATGAAAGCCTTTAGAGCTTTCTCCACTTTGGGTCCTTTCATCGTAATGATAGGACATATCATAGATGATACATTAAAGTTCGCCGTTTTATTCATTGGTTTTTATATTCCGTACGTTTGTGCTTTCTGGATCCTTTTTGGAGGACCTGAGAATGCTAGAATCATGACGGCTGCGCAACAACCTACCCAAGGATGGGAAGACTTTAATGACCTGATGTATTCCGTTTGGCAACTCACTTATGTCGGGAACTTTCCTTGGGAGTCGCTTCTTTCAGTTGATCGATTAATGGCGCAACTGTTATGTGGATCGTACATTGCAGTGTCTGGAATAGTTCTTCTGAATTTATTCATTGCTTTGATGTCGGATACCTTCCAACGTGTGCACGACAATGCAAAAGCTAATGCAGCCATGCAGCGAGCAAGTACAATTCTGAGTCTTGAAGAAAGTATGAGCCGATCTGGACGAGAGAAGCATCGTCGATATGTCCATCAGAAACTCGCACCAGAGGTACAATCCCGGAAGTGATGATTTTACCCAAACCGCAGTGGCATTACGATTAACATAACAATTTTTTGTTTTTATTTAGGAGTTGTACTACGATGACGATTCCACTGGTCCTCAGTCAGGAGAATTAGAGAGAATGACCCACCAAATTAAAGAAGTCATTGATGAAGTGCTAGAATGTGTACAGGATGGAGGTACCAGTTCATCAGATACCAATAGACGTGATAAGCCGAGACATTCCAGCATAATGAGGTTAGTTTGCGCAAGTGCTGGATGGCTCAACTGATTTTTTTAATTAGTCTAACTTCCTTTATACCTGATGTATTCAGTTTGGCAAATCACTTATGTCGGAAACAGTCATATAACCAGAAATTTAAATGCTTTCAGGTTACAAGAAGATTTAGCTCGTGCCTCAGAACTGCACGAAGATGGTTTGAATGCTGTGCGTCAAGAAATGGCAGATCTAAAGCAAGCAATAAACATTCTGAAGCTGACTCTCCAACAACAACAGCAGAAGCATTCACCATTGATGTCTGGTAATTCACAGCAAATCTTTAGTTCACAACATCTAACACCCGTTAAAAATCAGGCTCCGTTGTCACATCGCAAGAAACATAAAAAGGATCAGAGCTTCCCAGGGAATGAAGATGAGCGATACGATCAAGTTCCTTACGAAGGATTACCCCTTCCCACAACAACAACCGTAGATCAACTGCCTAGCGTTTCTGCCATTACCGGTAGAATAAAACGTCATCATCGATAACACTGTTCACCTGTTACAGTGCGTTCACTCCACATGACTTTTCATAAGAGGGTTCAAAAGCTCAAGTCGTAATTTGGAAGTTAACTACGAACTTTATTGGCAAACTGATTAAATTTCGATCCTCTTAGCAAAAGCATTACCCTACTTTGTAAAGCAACTCAGTCATCACTACTAAGCTTAGTGTAAACTATGAATTTTCGCGTGAAGCTAAGTAAGTTAGAAGTTCACAAACAAAGTTCGTTGTGAACTTCCAAAGTATGACTTGCACTTCGGAACTTGTGAAGGAACTTCACAACCCGCTCGTCATCTCTTCAGTCGGACTGTTAAATATTAATACTGACCACTTTATGTTGATTTTTGTCAGTGTTCTTTTTAACCTGCCCCACAAATATGTTTAATATCTCTATTATGATTAGTATTATGCAACTCTTAGATGAGTGAGATTGCATGGCCCAGACCCACTTGAACGACTCAGCATGAGTGAATCGGTTTGCTGAATCATTTTGCAAGAAAATTCCATCGAGTAAGCAGGTTAGAACACAGGGAGCCCAATTTAGATTAAATTGAATGGTGAAAATAAAATCGAAAAAAAAAAATATAAAAATAATTTTTTAAATTCTAGGTCAAGATAATGACCTTCGGAACAAATGTTACATATAGACTAAGCTAAAATTCAATATTTTTTGGAGGAGAGCGGATCTCATATCACGTGGTAATGACTTCACATCTGTTTTAACTCTGAGTTGAATTTTAGCCCTCAACCATTAGCGAAACGGCTTTATGTTGCCTATGCCTATAGTGTTTGTCTTCCTCTGGGCGCAGTTTCAATAAAATCTATAAGAAAAATTTGGAGACATTTGAGGAAATCTAAATTAAGAGTATAATCTATATGAAAATTAACAATGGATTTGCCGTAGCCAAAATTGCTACTTCTAGGGTAACGATTTACGATAGATAAATAAAACACCGCTAATTCTATTGTCATATGTCCCTAACACTCCCTTGAAAAATTAGAAGGTAATGTAGTAACGCGATCTCGCCAAAACGGAAAATATATGATTCAAGACAAAAACGCAATGTTTACTTTTCTCGCGCTTTTACGGACACTTTTATGAATAGTACGATCTTGCGAAAACTCGTCGATTTTTTTTATTGGATTTTTTTCAGAACTACAACAGTTCAATGCACCACTCTTTCCCCGAATTTCGTGATCATTGATAACTTCTAAGGCTGCCGAAAACTAAATGCAAAATCAAGTAAATATTGAGGCGATGTCATAGTTTTCCACGATTCTGTGCTTTGGAATTTCTTGAATTTCATTTTTAACACAACATCGAATTCCTTTGCACCATACATGAATTGACCGCGCTTGGCTGCCCTCCGAAATCTTCCCGAAGTATGGTAATAAGGGCTTGATTACACGAGACAATTTTCTCTGCGACTCGTCTCGCAGCAAATTGCTCCGTGTAATCGCGCCCTCCGTTGCATACGTAGCCTGCAATGTGTTATGGATCATACATTGATTTGTATTCAGTTTTGGACCAGCTTAGACATAATTAAGGCTACTGGAAAGCTTTAAGGGTATGTCTCGTTTAAGACTTTCTCTACGCAACACTTTATATAAAACCCCATAAAACTATATATCGTTTTAAAGGTCATATAATAAACATTCAGAAAATAACATTATTTGAAAGAGAATTTTAAATTTTTAGATCATCCTTTGCTTATTAACATAGTGAGGTTCTTTCGGCTATACGCGCTAACGCTAATCCCACCTCTTTAAAGCTCGACATTGTTTCAAATTAGAAAATTATTATGAAATAATAATATTTTCGAAATCTTTAAAACGAAATATAGTATTAGGGGGTTTTGTTGAACGTGTTGCGTAGAGAGAGTTTAAGACAAACATACCCCTGAAGGTCTCCAGTAAGCGTTAAGTAAATGGCAGATTAATATTTATTGTTTAGGTGTTTGCTATTAGTATAGTTCAGCTAGTGCGTATGCTCTTCTCAAGGGCGCTAGGACAGACGGATTGGGTATACGTGTGTTTGTTTCACTTATTCGTAGAAACTAAAAAATAGTTCACTGATCAGTATGTTTATTTCCGGTCTCTTTTACTGCACTGATGGTAAATTTGATAAACTTATTAAAGAAAGTAATTGCTAAGGAAGAGACGCCGGCGCTGCTTGGCACGGATAGTGCAGCGGTAAACACTCAGAGCGTACGTACAGCTGATTCAAACCAGAAAGGCCGTTGGTGGGCGTGGTAAATATATTCATATCGTACGGCTGATTCAAACCAGAAAGGCTTTTGGTTGGAAAGGACGTTTACTTGCCGAGCAACTTATGGACAGCCCTAAATTTTTAAGATGACATAACTATTGTAATATTAAACTATTAAGTTAACTAAGGAACTATAAAAAGAAAGATGTCATGTGTTTAACCTGAACATTAAGTTCAGGTTTTAAAGAGTTAATGTAAAAGGCCTCCTTCAGTTTAAGATATAATGAAGACTTGGGGGGTTGCAACCCCCAAAACCCACCCCTAGATCCGCCACTGAGGTCCGAATTGAAACCTTTTTTAGTGTTGTTGATTTTAAAGATCCTATCAACCAGAGTTTTGATAAGACCAATTTTATATTTAAAAGGGTTAAAACTTAAGAAATTAGTTAAGAGGCCAGTGTGTGTTTTCTTATGATAAACTGAAGTGATGCAATTTAGACCAGAGTTATCTATCAAGATGTTAAGGAAAGGTAGTTTCCCATTGACCTCTTTTTCAAAAGTAAACTTAATATCTTTTGTGCCTGCTATTTATATAAATAAAAAATAACATAGCATCGATCATCTGGACTATTAAACATGCAAAAAGTGTCGTCTCCACTGGAGCGGGTGGAGAGCCCATAGCTACTCCATCAATTTTGATCATAAAATTTGTTATAAATAAAAAATGTGTCTGAGAAGTGCCAAACGAAAAAATTTCTTTCAGATTTTGTTTACTAATAGGGAAATTAGGATTGTTTTGAAAAATAAGTTTGACAGCAATATCTATAGTTTCATTGAGGAGAATGTAGGAAAAAAGACTTTGTACATCAAAAGAAATTAAAAACTTGTTGTTAGTATCTAAACTTAAAAACTCATTGACAAAAAAGAACGAATCTTTTCTAGTAAAATCACTAGGTATAATAGGGGTAAGTAAAGAACAAAGATACTTAGCTAAGTTATAATTATAAGCCTTAACAGATGAAACTATAGGGGCTAAAGGGAGGAGGCTCATTAGTTTTATGTATTTTAGGTAAGCCATAAAATCTAGCGGGTTGTGATCCTTTAGGAAAAATATAAATTTATAGGTCTTATCATGTAAGCATTCCTTAGACTTAAGAGATCTAAGAAAGCGTAGTAATTTTCCTTCTCTGGTTATGGTCGGATCTTTTGTGAGTAATTCAAATTTAGACTTATCGTCGATTATTTTAAGGCAAGAATTAATATGTATACTTCTCTGTTCTAATATCAAGACGCCATTCCCTTTGTCTGGTCGAAGCATGATGATGGATTTATTGTATGATATGGTGATGGGTTGTAGGATCATATGCTTGAAAACGTTCCGCTGTGCAAGTATCTAGGTCTAACCTTAAGTGCTTTCGGGAATTTCTCGATTGCACAACAAGAACTTAAAAAA